AACACCGCGGCGCTGTGTTAGGAACAGGAACGGAACGAACAGAAAGCTAATGGATTAATCGTGTAGAGCAGAAGTGCCACGATTTGCAGCACTGGACTCTTCTGCAAACTGGTGAGATCAGATCGCTCATCGGTATCTTCGCTGCACTAAAATGGAGGGTAATTGAACAACTAAAACGGTTGTGGGACTGACCATTATAAGTGGGTATATAGTACCAACCACCAACGATCGATACTATCGGTGAGTACTTTCGGTGGCCAATCTTTAAATATGGATAAGTCTTAACACTGTGCATCATGTATTAGTTCATCATCGACAATTTTCAGCTACATAGGAGCGGGTTGAGATACGAAAACAGGACCGGTAAACGTCCTTATCAGTGCATCGCCGTTATGTGAGTAGCGTTTGCCAAGGCAGAAAGCAGTTCGATGTTGAATTCCCGCCCAGAGTTCGTTGAAGAGAAAGTGCGGCCTTTGGAATTGAGTGATCTCCAAATTATAAGTACTGTAACGGTGGCAGAAAAGGGCAAGGAAAATCGCTGGTCAAACCGAGGCGGCGTATCGCAATCCGAACACAGTAAGCACTCCACAAACTTGACAGTGATTATAATCATGGATTTCATAAAAGCTTCGCAATCTGGACGTTTATTGAGGATACGCTCCAGAATTCTTCCGTTCGTTTTCAAAACTACCTTCGATACCGTGAGTGCAAATTGTGACGTGTTCGTTCAGAGCAGCGCTTATGAAGTAAGGCCGAAAAGCAGAGAACATCGATCGTGACTGAATGGCTTACTCGGATTTAATGATCAGTACCACGTCAGGGGACCAGAAGGTGACATGCGTTTGTGTGAGTGTGGAGCGCGCGGAGACAAGGTTTGTGCTGTGTAGACCGTTGAATAATTTAATGGATACAACGGCAGCAACTCATCTGCATACGCACGCTAGGTAAAGACAGATAAGGAGTGCGGTTGTGTTTCGTCGATGGCAAGTTGGTTGTACGTGCACACAGTGATGAAGAAGCGTGCAGTCTACAGATACCAGTGAGCAGTGCGCTTCTGTCCATCTCTGAGCACATGTATGTGTGCCGTGATTCATGGACAGTGGTTACAAAGCGCAATAACAAGGTGCCAGGTATGATAAAGATCAAAGTTCCAGAAGAATACCAACCCCTAAATGTAGCGTGTTGCGGAATACAGAGAAGAGTCAATGCAGAGGAAACGGTAACTCACATTACCACCCGCTGGTTTGTGGTGTACGTTTTTAAAAGAGTTGACTTTCGGACCAATCATCTTGGGTGGACCTGGGGATAACGCAAGCAGTTGGGAGAAGACAATGAAGGTGAGAGTGATGCATAGTTTTGCCTTCCAGAAGAACGATTGGAATAAGCAACACAGCAGAGAAGAAGGTGAAACAAAGGAATGCAACAGTGTCTCATCAACGAGGTGATGAAACCGTAACATCCAAGTGCAAAGCTTATTGCGCCTAACAAAAAGCGAGTAACTTGGGAAAACGGACCCTTGTACAGGCATAGCGAAGTAAAAAAAAACTAGATCATGGAGAATTTTCAGCCAGAGTGCTGAGGAATTTCGAGGAACACCAGTCATTACACGTAAATACGCGAAGCCAGAAGTGAGGAGACGGAAAGTGGCTTCAGCATAGATTGCATACAGCAAGAATATAGTCAACCAAGAAAGTCGCGGTGACTTAGACTCGCGTAAAGCTACTCCTACTCTACCTTCAAGTCTTAATAGCTTATACTCAGCTCGAATGTAACTTTTGGATAACGAGCAAGGAGCAACGGAACCTTCTTATGATGCATTGCTGCAAAGTGTTTGGAAATGTCAGGAGTGAAAAAGTTTGAAACCAATTGGAAAGCTTCGAAAAAGGTATAGCAAGCGAGGATGAAAAGCTCTAAGCTGACGGATGACACCCTTAACTATGCAGAACTCAGGTAGCAGGTATGTGAGTACGTGCGCCTAACCGCATCAGTGCTTATGAGATATCACGGAACCAGTGTACACTAAAACGTTTTGGCACAGTTCGAAGTATGGGGTGGATGAGTGCCATAACTGTGAGAACCGTGTCCGTGGGTCTACTGTTGCATACGGGATAGAGAACTAGAACCACCTTTTGACATGACCACGAATTGGCCTCAGTGGCAAACGTGGTGGAAATGTTGCTAACATTCCGTTCGTCTTCTATGGTGTGGATCACGACTGGCACCACCCGTTCATCCCAGCACTTACACACAAGCCATAGGTGCTCTGAGAGAGTGTTCACGAACAGCACAAAGGAAAAACAATAAAGGAAGAAGCATACGCAAGATAACGGCTATCATTTCGAACAAGGCAACATTCTTATTAAAGTACATCGCCTAGGAGCAGTAGTGTAAGCAGTTCGAAGCCCCAAGACAATGCTTGAGTGTACATGCATCGCACGTTACGAAGAAACACCAACATTTAATGGGTATTTGACACATCTAGGAGATGTGATCCATCAATCTGAAACAATTAGTCCTCTTTAGTAATTTGGAAAGCACCATACGAAAAGGAAGACTGGCAAAAGCACACATTTCGCATTGTCCCATCAGTGCCCAGAACAATAACTCGCAACACTACTTATTCAAGACAGCGTGCGACTAAACAGTCATGCACACAAACAGACCAACAAGCAATATGACAAATTCCCGCTGAATCAGTTTACTTTGCCGCATTTTCGGCCAGCAATGTAAGATCACCTGCAGGGGTGTGAAATAGACTTTCTCTCCAAATGTATCGCCAATGTCTTTATTCACGGTCGATTTTGAAGAGATTACGTTGAAACAAACTGGAGCTATCTGCAGGTAATCATAGACGTGTTGCATCCGCTGATCTTGAGACGACACAAACCAGACTTGTGGGTTTACTCGAGACACATACGACTACTGCCCGTCTTCGAAACTGGTCACTGTTGTCGTATTGTATACACTTGGTATTGTAAAACCACCGTTGATCGCACAAAAACATTGCGCTCATCCGTCTGGAAAAGTCGCTGGCGGACAACCAGAAGGATGATACAGTTATTCGCGATTCCGGTAGGTATGAGGTTAATATGTCGGATGTGAAGCTCGATGCCTTAAAATTAGAAGCACTATCATTTGGCCTAAACTACAAAGCTCCACGAAGACGGTTAAATGAGCTTTCTGTCGAATCGCAGTTTGAGAACTTCTTTGATCAGGTGAACGAGCTACAGCCAGTCAGTGCTGATAAGCTCATATGGTTTAGAAACAAGCCGACATATGTTGCTTATGTGGTCAAATATGCGCCAGTAGAAAAGTGTGCGCTTACAAAACGGCATCTACAGGCGTTACGCGAACCACGTGCCGAGGATGCGATTGTAACAAACTGGGTGTGTCTAGTGAAATATGTCAATTGCCATGTTATAAACGTTATGTGCATGATATTTAGGCATTTTGATTATCTGAGCATCCGATGGAGCGCAACCAAATGTTGTGCATGGCAACTTGCGGGTTTGTTGTGAGGTAGAGAAGCAAAACTGCCGCCCGTACTTGAATGTCCTCACCAGCCGTAGAGAAAACAGACAAATTAAGAGATTTGTCTACAGGAAAGCAATAAGTTCCGACCGGTATCTGCACTGCACTAGCTCCACACCAATGCGATAAAAGCGGACGCTCGTGAGAACTCTGATTAGTTGTGCTAGACGTATCCACTCCGTTGATTGCCTGGCTGACGAACTGCAGTTGATTATGAATACGATTATTGAAAACGGCTAAACCCGAAGGTTCATCGAGAAGCATAGTCAAGGGCAACCAAGGGACTTAGTGCACACGGTAGCAAAGAAGTCTGTAGTCATTGCACTGCCATTCAAAGGTGACATTTCTTCGTTGAGGACCACAAGGCATCTGATCTGTGCCTTGCAGAGTACTGACTATGCCGCCAAGGTTGTTGTCATTAATAAAACCCAAAAACCACCACTTCCTGTAAAGGGGGCTCAAGTTATCAGGGCCCAGTCGCATTGCATATACCAATTCGTATGTGACTGTGGTGCCAGCCACATAGAGAAAACCGATAGGACATTGAATTCCCGAATGAAGGAACATGTGCCTAAGTGGGTTCAAGATTCGACCGCGCAGAAAACTGACTAAACTCAAGCTGCGTGTCCACGTGGCCCCTGACCTCTACGATCTGCCGACACGTACTGACCACAGGTCAGCGAGTCGAAGTCATTTCGGCGTTCACAATACAATATTACAGCACACCAAATCTCGCCTACTTTGTTTCGCAGAGGCAGTTGCAATTAACCGGAATAAGCCGGTGCTGTGTGCTCAGAAACGATTATCGGTCTTGGGGATAGGGGAAATAACGCCGTCCCTAATAATTTTTGTTTGTCTGCATGTGTGCATATCTGTTTGGTTGCACCCAGTCCTGAAAAAAGACTGTTGAGAGTTGGAGATGTTTCGATGATGCTGCTCCAAACAATGACACCCCATAAGCGGTTTCGTCATCGTTTGGACACATCAGGCGGAGATAGCCTGGTCTGAGTTGGAACTCGATGCTTTGTGGTTAAAGGCTGGCGCCTTGATCACTATGGCTCTGAGATTCAAATTAGTGTTAAAGCACTGTTCAGGCGAAATGCGCGCATTATTTAATCGTTCAAATCAAACTGAGATGGGATATTGAGCGACCGAGCAGAGGTCCAATCGGCAGCAGAACTACCCATTGGGCTCAGCAGCACTATCGTGGCCATCGTAGCCTCGTTGAACCGCCAAATGGAATGGTGATATCGAGCGATTTGACGCTCCGTCGGCATTCGAATCGGGTATAGTCAAAGCCGAAAAATCACTCGGTTGAGCGTGCGATAACATATTTGTAGCTATCTCGACGGGACCGGCCAGTGGCAGCAACAAAACAAGTGTGCTCTGCCACCTGAAATTACACCGCGAAGTATGCAGAATATGTGGTGGAACCACAGCAAACGTGTTCATATAACCGGCAAATGTGTACAGTAAACGATTTGTCCGGACTCCAATCAATGAGATTGAAGCACGTGATACCCGCATGGGCGATTAGAACAATTGACTACGATAATGAGACATAAATGGTTGCATCAGTTCCATTAGGAAGATTACTGAATCAGTTGATCGAACGAGGCCCAAACGTGAAATCTGCGATCTCATGCACTATCACTAAGCGGGAACTTGATGACTACCACGGGGTCGATTGCAGACCAATGATGCACGGTCGAATGGAATGTGGTACGACAAACGCTCAGATGACATACGCAGGATTTGGCTGAGCCGTCTCAATGGAGTACAGTGCAGCCAACTTATTGAGGGGAATACTCATCTGAGTCCATCAGTTTGAACACAGGTTGCCACAACACTCATAGACACTCAAGTTGGCGAGTCTCACCAAGGCGATCTGATTGGCAGTCTCTCCCATACAACATCGTAAAACGATAGGAGATACCATTCCGCACCTTGACGCAAGCAAGACATCTCGACTAAGTCAGCAATTTTTTCAGATTAGTAAATATCGACTGAATTTTAACGATACAAAGACACACAGCTAACCAGGTAGACGAAACTGCACACCTTCAAGGCTGAGCAAGGGGACAGGCAAGCGCCAATCTTGGGACACTTCGAGAGAGTAAGCAAACATCAAAGCAATAAGCTTGAATCGCTACACAGTTCAGAATGAGTTGGATACCCTAGGAAAGTGATCGAGCAAGGTGATATCATCCCCATAGTCTAAGCCAGGGGTCACCAAACTAGGGCCCTTCGGCTGAATCCGGCCTGCTAACTGTGCGTGAATTAGCTTAATAAGGCGTGTGGAACACGAGACGCGGTAAAATCTATATTTGACACCATGTCGCACTGTCGGTGGGTTTACACTGTTTGAACACTAGGGTGAGCCAACTCATGGTTGCTACATGTGACTCCGTACCGCCGCACTGTCAGTGACCTTACATCATGGGAACACTGGTGTGAGTGATCACGCACGAAACCCATTCACCCATGGAAGCTACAGTGTTTTCGTTTACCTCAAACCTGCGCTGTAATTTTACGTTGATCAGAACCTTTGGTGTATGTGTCATCTAGAAAGCCGCGTAGTAAGAGGCCGTTAGTTTGTAGATGTGACATTTGAAGCCACATTTGCTAGTCATTCGGAACGAATTACAAGTTGCTGCTGCGGAACTGAGCTGGAAAAGCAAGTTTTTGAGGTTTGTACATTTTGGCACCGTCGCACTGTTTGTTGATTTGACTCCGGTGGAAATGCCTTGTATAAGTATTCCAAGCGCTATTATCGAAGGTATCGTAGGTGGACCATGGTTCCCCCAATGACCTCCAATCCTCTGCTTCTCTAGTGTGCTAATAGGATTCATATTATGTTTCAATTCACTCACATTTTTGTTCACACCCCCGCTTACTTCACTCTTCAAGATAGCTACCAAGAAAACAATAGTGAACGCTGAATGTCGCTTTTGCTATCTCTTTTCCAGTTTTGTTTCTGGCTCACAAGTATTGTGCAGAATGATTACGCGACCCGCGGTAATCATTTTACCAGTTATCAGGTGCTCTGTGGAAAAGGTTTGGTGACCCCTGGTGCACTTGCCTGAAAAAAGCCTCTGGCCTTCCAGAGCTCTGTACCGGCAAAATTGAAGAGAAACGGGGACCTGGGAAACCCTATCTTCATCTCTCACTCTCCAATCACGATCTCATTCATGAAGCACAATATATACCATTTCATGTGGGTACGACAGCCGGCTACTAACTCTCCGGAACAACGTCCATCCGTTACAGATGGTTCAGCTGGCGCCCCTAAGTTGCGTCACTTTATTAGCTTTTTTCTTGTGTATTGCGGCACATCGGTTAAGGTGATCGCACGTGTAGGATGAATGAGTGAGTGACTAGCGTGCACCGTCAACGGAGGCGAAGGGAAAACGAAGCTTGATGCAAACCCACACTTGGCGTGAGGAACAGTGGGACAAAACTTGAAGGGTGTCAATATACCTTTTCAACAGTTCGGTTATTCATCAAACAATGCAGTAGAGTGTGTCAAAAGACAGGGTCAAAGCCATCCGGATGGCTAGAAACACGATGATGACAGGCCCCAGCTGAAGAGGGTATCAGTCAAAGAGAGTTCAGTCCGAAGATCAGACCCACACACTCTTTAAAGTGGCCGAAATCAGCCTGTTCATCATGACAACGTAGTTCACGAATGAGGCTAGTACAGATGTGAAGTCAAACTACAGCTCGAGTATTCCACGCAACTTTCCTGATGCTCTTGCAAAAGTCTTGCGTAAGATCCTCATTTATTGTCTATCCCGAGAAGAAATGTAAGCATTACTATAGAAGCAAACAAATGCTTTCGATTAACTCCTCATCAAGCCAACTACAGAAATATATGTTTGGAAAAGTGTAGTTCAGTATAGGGTATTTAAGGTGGCTATTAAGTGGACAAAAGTAAACGGCTATCGTGATATGCATTAGGTGATCAAGTGATAGAAGGCACGTGGTGCCGTTGGGTATGATCCGATGCGACTTGGTTGGTCGCTGCCCAAGGCAGTTACACTGCGTTGAAGAGTATTTTCTGAATGTATAGATTCGGTTTTTTCAATCTGATGCATGCCGCCGCTTCAGTGGTAGCAAGCAGCCGTGTCCCTGACCGGTGACTTAGTTACAGCGGTACTCTTTACGCAGAATTTCGAAAGCATTCCGTTTGTCTACTTGATACCCCTGCAAACCAGGTGGTTAGTTACTGCACACAAGTTACCTCTGTCCCACGGATTGATGAAAGAATTCGGCTAATGTACCTTGATTGGCGTTTTTAAGTGCATGACCGTGCGTCCAGTTTACCTATCCCCACAGGATCATGCGTACCGGCAGATAGCCATGGATTGGAGTTGACCAGGTACTTTATCTTTGATTCTAGAAACAATTATCGATTTGTTCCTAAAGACAACATCAAGTTGCACTGCATTAAAAGTCGCTCTGCAACTTTGCATTAGTCGTCTTATACATAATCCAGCCACCATATCATGCTTTAAAGGAAGCTGGAGAAACGACTATTTCTCCTCAACCGTTTCCACAGTGGATCTCGGACTGCTTGGCTACATGTGAAGGTCAAGGCAGTGTTCTGGATAGCTGTTTTCGAGAAACGTTTGCTTGATTCATGCATACGGGCGCAGTATCATCATGAATCGTCAATCAAGGAAAGCGACCAATGAAGATCAGCACTATGAATACCAGACTCCAATTGAGAAGCGATAGACACCAAGTAATAGGGGAACAGCTGTTGACCAAAGTTAGAAATTATTGTTTCATTTATGTATGGCATCAACAGACATGCTAAAGCAGCCACTCAGGCCGAGAAAAATTAAGTTGGTCATTTATACTTTCAGGGATACTCAGTAGCGCACCTTCCGCACAGCAATGCGATTCCGCTTATGCGAGACAACGTTTCAAAACGCAGTTATTGTAGTCACACAAACAGCATCATTCCATCTTGAGCGGCCAATCAACTAATAGTCATATGTCAGTTTGTGCTCGTAACTATCTCAGAAGTACGGCGAGAAAAATAGATGAGCGCGTCTATCAAAGTTAGATGGCTGCTTCGTCCCTCCATAATTCGAAAGTATCGGACAGTTCTTCGTTTGTGCAAGGATTTTCTTGGACTCACACTAGATAAGGATTCGTGACTCTAACGAAGTTAGAAAGGATGAAATGATGAGCAAAATGCCTTTTCGAAAGCCAATGCCCTACCTGGTATATGCAGCTGTAACGATATACAGTTAAATTATAACCTATCTTCATATGAGAGGATTGCTACTTACAATAAAATAATGCACTGCACTATACTAATGCTATACTATGTACTCCAAGTGAACTCACCGCTACTGGAGAACACCTAAAGGAAAGAAAGAGAAAAGATGTGGTTTGTCGAAACTGCTGAAGATACAATCACACGAACAACATTACGTCCTCATTTCATCAATGATAAACAGCGATGTACTCAAAAAGTGCTGCATACTCAGTACATAACAAAACCGTATAAGAACGTAACATCCGTCATGACTGTGACAAAAATCAGGCAAGGTGATAATATGATAAAACGTCGACGCATCGATCAAGCCACATAAGAGTTAAACTGTAGGGCAGCAATGGTTGAGCGCAACTAGACTCTTTAGGCCTGTCCAGCTGGTCAGCAAGGCTTTGCAAACACAAAGCGGTATTGAAAGTACGGCAATTTTACGTGCCGGCTGGGGACCTAGACCAATCGCAGGACGTACTTCGATCTTGCCAAAGTTCTCAATTTTTGTCAAACTTTAGGGTGGAACCACTCATTGAGTGCTCCTAAGTGGAATATGCTTTGTAATGCTACCTGGCAAAAGGAATCACGTTGGCATGCGACTCATCGAACTAAGAATACGAATTGGTTGGTAAACAATTACTAAAACATCATGACTTCGCAAAATTATAGCGACAGCGAACAGAAAAGTTATGCGAATAAACTTGTGGGGGGTTGGGGTAAACCACAGAGGAAATAGATGCTGCGACAGAAATCTTAATCAAAGTCACAAAGTGAGCCACAGTCATTTTCGCAAATGGGATTGGCTCGCGTCCCACACACACGTGAAACCGAATCACGTAAATATGTCCCAAATGTTCGATAGATAGAAAACACTATTTGAAGCAAAACAAATATATCAGTCTCGATTTTTATGCAGCAGTAGTAAAACGAACCACCCATGTACTGCAGGTTAGAAATAGTTGCCGACATCAAAAAAATATCCGGCGGGCCGCTTGTACTTGTAGTTCATTCATCGGATAAGATAGATAAAAATGGGATAACCAAACTGCAAACGAATTCGACGGATCAAGTAACTACAGTCGAGTGGAGCTAAACTCTCTTCAGATCTCATTTGAGATAAGCGGTTCAGCTGGCGGTACGAAAGTCTGATTTTGTCGATATGATCTTGGAATACAACACAACTCCCGCCTCGCTGAATCCTTATACTTAATAGAATCATGTTTGAATGAAAGGCACAAACAGTTAACTTTTCGTGTGACATGCACCTCTGTCTGATCCGACGCCACACAGAATGGAGAGATTCGTGAAAAAACGCCCACAGATTAGCCCATTGAAATGGGATTGTATGTCACTCGTGTAAATCCGAACCAGCTGTTTTAGTCCATCGATATCCAGATGATGCGACCGAACAGTATCGAATAGGTAGTCTTTCGTCTCTTCTAACAGGACAATAGTGAAATGATACAACATCTAACCAAAACGTCCTCCTTCCAGTTAGGTCCACGTTCTTTGTGGAGGGTGTACCTGAGGCTCTGTCGTGAGAAAACATTCATGACTCGTTTTAAAATACTAGAAAACCATTCCGCTATCGAGTTATACGGAGAATAATCCGTGCCCAACATCGGTCTCAGTGGAACGTCATCATTGCGCAATATTGGCGAGTTAAATTGTCCCCGTAGTAACACAAGCTAGCTAGAAAGTTAAGTTCAATATGAAAATATTCATCCCCAAGTATCTACGACTTCGTTGGCTTTAACGAAACCAGAATGCGCTGATCTCTAGACGAGATAAAGGAGCAGCGATGGTTCTGGTGGAGAAATCTGAGTATACCGATAAAATAAATGTCCGCCTCAGTGCTCACTCGATATTTCAGAGTAGGGAAAAGGAGAGAGAGAAAGTTACGACCGAAAGACAGTTACGATGTTATTACTCTGCCTGAAACAGGAGAATGGCTCAGCCGTGTTCGGTTATACGCATCCCACAGGAACATTGAATCAAAGAATTTATGGCTTGTCAAAGTGCAAAAAGGTCTTCCGCTTGTGCTGTTGGCTGAGACCAAAAGCGAATGGAACCGTTACGGTACCAGTGCTCCGCTTCTCAGCTGCCGATGACACATCGCCTCTCCTTGGCGCTGGGACGGACCAGTCGTGCGCGCTCATCTCTCGACGATGACGCCTGAGTGGCCAACATCCACTATGTCAATGCTCCCTCAGCTGACCAGCTGCCACAGCGGTGTCGGAGGTACGCCGTCTGCTCGCCACTCAGCGGATCAAGCTGCTTCTCAGCGGTTCAATGGCATACCGCCTCATCGTTCCTATATATTTCCTCCAAAGTGCAACACGCCATCCTGCACGGTGTTTTTGTGTGAAATTCCCTTGCATCTTTTTGCTCCTATCTGTTTCGTTTCGTATGGCTTGACTACGAAAATATCCTCAATTCAAATGCGTGAAAACCCACAACAGTTTCAAAGCATCGCGAGTGTAAACGATCATGTCCCCACCTACAGAACGGAATATCGAAAAAATAAAACTAAAGAGTTCCGATGCGGTGCCGAAAAACGTGTGTTAGAGCAGAACCAAATTTGAAAGCCTCGCCGAATCGTAAAAGTTCCTAAACATTCGAACTACAGCGAATCTACAAGTCATAGAGACGTTCATTCAATAAAATATCCCTAGCATATACATCAGTGGTTAGGGAACAAGGTCGTTTTCCGTGGTTGTTCAGTCAATCTATTCTCAGCCTCGTCAAATACCCAGTTAGGCGGAACATTTGGAAGAGCAGTCCAACAAGCCAGCTGCGACACTGCGGTTTCCCGAATCACCTGAGCCAACGGTAAAAGTTGATTCCACACCTCCCACTTTAGAAGGGACCCTACGTGAGCCTGCCATATTGAAACAAGACAAAGATCTAGGACTTAACGACCATCGTCTATCTGTGCGTAAAGATGGAGGCGACTGTTTGTTAACTGCATTTGCTGCTCTATTCAGCACTAGTTGGGACACTGGATAGGTGCCTTCAGGCTGTTGGGCCGATCTTCAAAGGCATCAACAGACTTTGTGCGAAAATCTTCGAGATATTAGCCTTCCTTTCATTGCCTCCAAACTTCAACGGCTAGATGGTCCTCGTGAGAGCCGAATCAGTGAAAGCTATGTGGGCATCCGCGCTGCTCATGATTGCGTCGACCACACATTTACACTTTGTCAAGTAAGAAACAAATTCCAGCGAACATGCTCGTTTTCAGTGGTTCATCATCCCGAATGAATTACATGAAACTTAAACAACAAATAAGAGTACCGGTTCAAAGAACAAGATGGTCTGAGTGATCAAGCTAAGTGCTTGGTTCCAAAACATTCAAGGGTGCGCGTGTGTGTTTGTGCCCACTCTATGCGTCAGTATGATAGGGGGCCAGGGTAGACTGTACCTGGACGAAATTCTTATGGGCGTATAGATCAGAATCGTGAAGCCGAATGGCAATCGTTTCGGTCGCTGCCAGTACACGGCATCTGATCGCTCGTGGGTTGCGTCTGAATGCACGGTAGATGAGGTGGGACGCTTCATGCGCACTGACCTGGCAGTTCGAATCAACCAAATGTGCAGACATGGGGCCTGTCACTGTTCTAGGCACTCCAGGCTGCACAGTGCTCATGGGGTTTCTCCCCGCAATTTCCTGGTAGTACTTCCGATATATCCTGACCGACATGAATAAGAGAAAGATGGAACACAGTAGGAAATTTTTGACTGTGGCATTCAATCCTTAAGTTGCTACTACATAATTCGCACTGAATCAAAGCTTAACCGTAGACTTGCTGCTTAGTAAGTTTGAGAACTGACCTCAGAATGCCTTTAAATATTGATTCCGCCATTCAATCCCCTTGAACGATAACAATAAATAGATAGTTAGATAGACCGCTTTCCTTCCCGATGAAACCAATTTGCCCTGTGTTACTTGATACTCCGTTCTTCTCCGAACGAACGTTTGCGGATTGCTAATTATATCAAATAGGCTTCGTGGGAATTTTAACTCGTCCGCATGTGTGTCATCGCTACAACTCACTTACTTGTTTGCTCAGCTTGGCACCAAAAAGGTTTCCGTTTCTGGCTAAACGGGACGAAGCTGACAAAATTGCTCCGTTTCACGTTACGCTTTTATGCACACTCCGTTGGACCTACCCGTCCGATCTTTCACTCATCCGAACGCCAAAAATATCTTGGCGTTGTTTCTCTCAGATTCTAAGGTGAATTTCCTGTTGTCGTGAACCAAGCAAACTGCATCGCTAGTTTTCCCGTGCATAGCTGACTATCTGCGATGCAAAATAATTCGTCTATGTAACGCCCGTGGTCGACTAACTTATTTATAACTATGCTCAGGTACTTGTTTTCCACTTTACCCATAGGCACATGTTAGTAGCGGTCCTAACGGTGAGATCACAGCTAATCTGTCCTTCCGATTATGTATTGACCCTTTGAAATAGTTGTTGTCCATGCATATCAGAAGTAGTCGTCTTAATCGGTCGTTCAAAAGGTGGACATCCAGATGATGTAACCAAATAGTACCGACTAGGTAGTCTTTGCTCTCTTCTAACGGGACATTAGTGAAGTGATACAACCTCGAGCCAAAACATCCTCCTTCCAGTTAGGTCCACGTTCTTTGTGTAGTCTATGAAGCCGAGGGTGTCCCTTAGGCTGTCTTGAGATCACTCTCCTGACTCGTTCTAGAATACTAGCAAACCATTCCGCTATCGTTATACGGAGAATCACCCATGCCCAACATGGGTCTCAGTGGAAGGCCTTCGTTATGCACTTTTGACGCGTTTCATTGTCCACAAGTCAGTTAGAACATTAAGTTCAATATGAAAATGTGTATTCCCAACTAACTAAGATCACGACTTCGTGGGCTTCAACGGCTATCAGTCCCTGAAACACAGGTATCTGTTGACAAACCAACACCAAGATATCCCGAAAGCGCTCAAACAAAGCCAGAATGTGCTGATCTCTAGACGAGATAAAGGAGCAGCGATGGTTCTGATGGAGAAATCTGAGTATACCGATAAAATAAATGTCCTCCTCAGTGATCACTCGATATTTCAGAGTAAGGAAAAGGAGAAAGAGAAAGTTACGACCGAAAGACAGTTACGAAGTTATTACTCTGCCTGAAACAGGAGAATGGCTCAGCCGTGTTTGGTTATACGTATCCCACAGGAACATTGATTCCATGACTGTATGGCTTGTCAAAGTGCAGAAAGGTCTTCCGCTTGTGCTGTTGGCTGAGACCTGGAGCGAATGGGGTTGTTGCGAGATCGATGGGCTGAGACCAATCACACGTCACCGGCCATAGATGATCGTGTATGACGGGTGCAGCTCAGCGAAAAGGAGGGTGTTGTGTCGGAGCCCCACGACTGCTTCCACCCACTAACGGTAGTGAGAACACCAACGACTGGGCAACAAACAACGTTCATTCAACATGACAAACCGGCCACCAAGCGTCTGTCTGTGCAACTCAATCACAATATTCAAATTAGGGCATATCACAACCTATGCGGAAAGGCTGGCGTTCGATCAGTCAAGGCTGGTCAGTTCAAAAAGCGGGGGATCGATAAGTTGCCTCACGAACGAACGAAATACACAAATTAAGAGAAAAGCTAATAAGCGTAAGATTCAGTGTCCATACAAGCTAATCACAAATGTGAGGCAAAGGTGAACGTATGCGAGGAACCGGAAAAGAGGGCAGGGTGAGTGGGGCAAAACTTACAAAACAAAGGGGAGCGGTGGAGTATTCTTACCTCCGCTATAACAGAGGGGCGGTGTGTCTCGGACAGCTGAGAAGCGGATCGGTCGGCCGAGCAGCAAGGCGAGTGATACACGCCTGTAGGTCAAATTAACAACATGGTCCACTGTGACAACTGGTCAGCTGAGGAAGCATCAATCAAGTAGACGGATGACCAATCAAACGCCACCCATGAGAACCAATGGTGGAGTCTATCCGGGGTGGCAGCAACGAGACTCAATGTAACTCTGGACATTGTAGGCGTAGATCGTACAGTCTGGAGAGCGAGCATGAACCAATGGATTGTGGCCAACGGTAGAGGCCAGTTAACAAGGGTCAGCAAGTGAAACGGATCACAGTAGAACAGTGAATCAAGGTTATGTACTCTACAAATAACCCCGAATATTCTAAATAACGATTTTGTGATCGCCGACCAGACTTTGTTTATGATTCCCAGAGGGTTTCACGATATGGCGCCATAGGAGAGAAAGAATCCGATAGACAAGGCATTGGTTTCTTTAGATGGACAGCCGATGAGCGCGTTTCCATCTTCGCTGCAGATGACGGAAGGTTCGGTGCCGGACAAATGGAAAGTGTAGAATACCAAGTGGACTGATTTTGTGACACTGACCCCACCGATGGCCTACCAGTTGGTCATGTGCAGGCACGCTGTTGGTGATGAAATCATGTTGGAGACACTGGAGCACAGCGATACGCGACAGGAGGCCATACTTTCGATGGTTCTGAAGATGTTCGCTGAGGTGTGCGAAGTTTGGGCAAACAAAATGTACTAGAGGTATTTATTTTAAGACCGCAGTCAGTCGCCAGGCGAGTCGTTCGGGAGTAACGCTGATGAATTGAAGCTTTTGATGCGTACCTGCAATTATCGCAATTACCTGAGGGAAGCCCTTATAGGTTATCGCATTGTTATCAGTATAAAAAGCGGCGAGCTCACCCGTTGCCTTCCGAGACAAAGGAACCTGTTTTTGGGACAAGGTGGATATCTGCCTGAGTGAAGCAAGGACAGTCCAGTAGTTTAAGAAGTCGAGAGCGGAGGCAACACCGATTTATGCGCAGTATCCCGAACCATCAAAGATCTAACCCAAGCAATCGCAGGGCAGGTACTAAATTGCCAGTTTGCAGCCACACAAATACACGAAAAAAGAGAGGTCGACCTAGGATGAAATGTTCCAAGAGAAATCCCTTTGCTCGTTGTTGCGGATCCGCCAAGGTCAGTTTTGTGGTCGACGTCGTCAATGAACAGATGCTGGAGTTTTCAGCAAACAACTTGGAAAACTGCGGAAAATATTAGTGTCTTTGCGACATATTTGATTCGAGGATGACCCATGTCAGGAAGAAGTGTCAAGAAACTAGCTGAAAAGAATTGTGTGAGACAGACATGTGACAGAGCGCAGATTTGTCTCGAATTGTGGAACAGCTGGAAGCTACAAACGAAAAGTGGCGTCACGTTGTAGCCCATCAGTTCGAAGAGTGTAGCAGAACAATGGTTGGAGTTTCCGATTGTGTCGGCAGACTATATGCCCATTCTGGGCATTGATTTCATTAAGATATTTAGTTTTGTTTCTATAAACCATGAAAGCATGACATGTGCCCGAGCGTGCTTGAGAGAAGTGCAGCGAGATTCGAAGGATATGCCCATTTGTCTTTAATGGAATCCACTAAATCCCTATTACCTTGCACTGCAACGCCCCCCCTCGCCCACCCAATTAGGGTGCAGTAGCCGTAGTTGATGATTCGACCAATTGGGTTAACCAGGCGAGGATTGTTACTAAGAAATCAGGTGAGCTATGCGTATGCAATGATCCGAAACCGCTTGACGCTACCCACACTAGTTGAGGTACTTCCGATGTTATGCAGAGCTAGGATGTCCACAAAGGTTGATTGTGTTTCAACTTCTTGGCACGTATCACTTGAAGAAGAGTCAAACTATCTGAGAGGTTTGGAACACTTCTGGGTGTTTCCGGTGGCTGCGCTTACCAGTTGGTCTGGAATTACCCAGTGAGATATTCCAGGAACGACGGATGCAGGCTTTTGACGATTTACCATGAACATTATGCGTAGCCGACGTTTCGGTTTTCAGCACTACGAGAGAGGAGAACGACCAAAACTTTCGCTGACCTTCGCAGCGTTGCTCTGAGAGGAATATCAAACTGAAACGTGAGAAGATTGAATTGCGTAGAACGGAAGTGGTGCGTCATGGGCACGCGCTAATCTCAGAATAGCTGGAACCAAACACAGAGAAAGCCAGAACCGTAAACGAGATGCTTCCTCCCACTGACGTAAGAGCTGTTGACAGACTGAATGGGATGATCAACTATCTGAGTCGATTCCTGTCTGTTTCCGTTGACATAATAATAATGACTCGAAAATTGAGTCCAAAAGGGAAAATTGGCAATGGGGTAAAGAGAAGGGGGGGAGATCAAGTTGATTACGAACGCACACGTCCTCGTTCTCCAGTAATCCCACAAGCGATCCCGTGTGACGGCAATCAGTATGCTATCAGAGCCTTTCTCATACAAAACGGTAAAACTATCGATTTCCACTGCCGGACGCTGAGGAAGATAGAGCGATGTTACGCTCGAATAGAAAAGGAGATGATTCTGTTGGTTTACGCTGTAGAACGTTTCAGTGACTAGACCAACAGCCGCAAGACCACCGCCATTATCGACCACAAGTCATTGGTGTCCATCAAGTCAAGTCAAATCAATTCAATATAAGGTTTATGTACCTAGCATTTTGCATTGTCAAACTTGAAGGTACTAAATTGGCACAAAAATGCAAAATTTTACAAAGGGATAGACAAAGATGAAAAGTCGCACTCGGGTAAACGGCTTTCCAGGGCAACGATCGCACAACGTCGAAGATAATCCTCGGGATTTGCATCCAGTCAAGAGAGCAAGGTTCTACTAAAATCTGTCTTCATAATTGGTTTCAACTGATCTAGATGTTCGCGTTCAAAAGCAATGAATCGGATAGAGTGACCAGCATCTCAGTATTAGTATTCAAAAGTA